AACCTGGACTATTGCTCATAATGTACCACCACCATACCCTCCCCCTTCCTGCACACATCACTCTTTATCAGCATTAAGCTTCTAGTCCACTATAGTTGCAATTTTCACCTCAGATCTGTATTTTTGCGCTGCTGACTACCCCTCCACACCTATTATTTTTRTCTCGATGTCCACAATCATCCATATCTGTGTCCATGCTGTATTAAACATTTAGTGTCTTTACTTGATTATTTACATTATTTAACATAACATTATTTAATGTTATTTGATTGTGCTGTTTGAACTGATTACCTGTTTATTGCTGTAACTTGGGAAGGAGAGTAACACAGTTTCAGTTCTCTGTATGTTTTGCACAATGACAATAAAAGTAGTTGAACTTGAAGCTGAGGCTAGTAGCACTCAGACTGAACTGTTGCTGTTCCTCTGGTGCCACATGCTCTCTTCTGTTTACTGTCAACCAGGGTTAAATAGCTTTGTTTGTTTGTATTTTACCCATCTTTCAGTCTCAAAAAGAAAGCAGCACTTTGTGTTGTCACTTTGTTGGAGGATTGTTGGTCTAATTTTTGGGAAGTGTGTTCAGTCACGTGCTTTCTAGCCTCAAAGATTCCCTCCTAATACGCTTTATGTGGAAACCTGTGGATTTGACTTAGGAAAGTTTCAGCTCTTATTTGTTAARATATTTGTTTTTGTACTTCCTTTAAATAATTGATTTTGGAATGAACTAAAAAAACCTTCTAAACTCTATTGCTTACAAAGCAAAATAAAAGTGGGTTAATGTTCACAGCACATCTGAAGCACAACGCTGACATTGCCTTGACACTCAAAGAAAAAAGAAAAGTGAGGAAAGCAATGTCAAAGAAATGCCACTGGAATTCCCCGGAATCTCCCCCCTTCCCACCTTCAGCCCCCAYGACTGTCCCCAAATCTACACAGAGTTACAACTTGTTCCACAATAGACAAGGGGAGCTATTCTGTGACCATAATGCAAGGAAATGTTACCTCAGAGCAAAAATGTTCTCAGCACAGAGGCCCCTCGGTCCTGGAAACAATCAGCACGGAAGCTGAGGCAGGTGCCCACCTCCTGTGAAAATATCCTCTACGATGTGAGGGCGTGTTGTCAGCAGCTGAACGACAAATGAAACACAAAAATGACAACAGTTCTTTATTACAAATCAGCTCTGCTTGCTGCACACAAGCATCAACTTTTCCAGACAAAACCTGCCTCTTTCCTGTCCTCGCTGAGCCCAGCCAGTCCAGGCTGCCCATCCTGAGCCTGCTTTTGGTTCTGCTGGAGGTTCTTCCTGTTAAAAGGGAGTTGTTCCTTCCCACTGTCCCCAATGTGCTGCTCAGGATGTGAGATTCCAACAAAGTGAAGATTTAACACAGTCTGCTGGTTGTCTTAGACAGTTTAATGAGATCAGTTTTAACCGTGAACAGAAGCCTCAGGCTCCCAGGTGATGATGGAGGACCTGAGTTTGAAGGGACTGGAACTGAAAACTAGTGTGAGACAAGTGTGTTTTAGATTATTGATTCATTGTCCCACACAGGCCAAAATAAATTTAAACATAATTCATGAAACATGCACATAAATACAACAACTGATAAAACAAAACACAAATGTGAGCCGTCASATCGAAACGAGGATAAAGTCTAAAAGTGGAGAAATGGGCTGACATAGGGTTTGGATTTAAATGAGTGCAAAAATTGAATTTTGTCAAAATATAATGAATTAATGCTTCATCAATGTACTATTTGAATGAACTGTCTGAAATATAATCCTGAAAAAAGATTTTGAAGCATTTTTTGAGCAGTAGCAACAAAAACCCTGATTTTGAGGAAAAACACCTTACAGTCTGAATTTTTCCCTGTGAGCTAGCACTGCTTTTGTTTCTTTCCAACTGGGAAATCTTCATATACAAATAATATTTGAGGTTTCCTCTTTATAYAAACATCAAAAATGACTCGATAAATTTACATAAACTTAAGATTCAGACCAAACAGTAGCATATTAT